AATACCTTAAGCCTCAAATTAATATCGAAAATATAATACCATCTTCTATAAACTTTTCAGTTCAGTTCAGTCCTCAGTTGTGTCCGACTCTTTGCAACCCCATGAACTGTAGCACACCAGGCCTCCCTGTCCATCACCAACTCCCGGAGACCACCCAGACCCATGTCCACTGAGTCGGTGATGCCATCCAACCATCTCATCCTCTGTTGTCTCCTTCTCCTCTGGCCCTCAATCTTTCCCAGTATTAGGGTCTTTTCAAATGAGTCAGCTCTCCGCATCAGGTGGCCAAAATATTGGAGTTTCAGCTTCAACATCAGTCCCTCAATACTATAAACTATTAGGTACATATTAATAAATGCATATCAACATGGTAATTTTAAAAAATACATGCAAATGATATATGACTATTACAGGATAAAGGGAGGAAGGGAGAGGGGAAGTATAGAGATGGGCATAAGTTGTTATTGTGGGATTTGGATGTTTTAAGAGACAGCTTAGGCCAAATGTTAAAGTCTATTAAAAATGGTACATGGTATATAACTGGTATAACTTTTTGTACAAGTCTGTATGTTTGGAATAGCTTATAATTTAACATGTACTAGCTTTAACTTAAAAATGTCTTTTTTTCCCCTATATTCTCACAGCTTGAGGACCCAATTCAAATTTCCTCAACTGACATTAAAGAGAAAATAAAAGCAAGCATTGAAAGATTCTGTCTTTTTTTTTTTTTGAGTGTGTTCAATATCATGTTTGAAATCCAGGCTTTGGAAAGTACAAGGTTACTGTGGGAAACCCAAGTTCTTCTCACAAGCTCCGGCTAGTGTGATTATAACAAACTCATTAATAAATATAATTAACCAAGCAGCAGGTTGGTTATAAATCAAGATGGCTCAAAAGCAGCAAAGGACTCTTAACCAACATGAAAGCAAGACTCTCTTTGATGGCACAGAATTTTAAATAACGTAAAAGGATGTAGGAGACAAGAAAAGAAAGTAGGAAAGGCAATCACAGCAAGGAGCAATATGCCAGCACAAACAGCTGATTCCAGAGAGTGGAGTGGTAAGTGCAGAACTGACCAGGAAATCTCACACACGGAAAACTGAAAAGAATGTTTCCTAGGGTTCTAGGAAATGGAGATTCTAAACTATAAATCAGGGAGAGAGAACATAATGGAAAGACATATTTTCATATCATCTTATCAGAATCAAATTGTAGAAACGTTTCAACTCAGATGACAGAGCAGAAGTATGAATCTAGTACAGATCTGTCAAATCCCAAAATCTGTATTTATACCTTAAAGAGAAAATGGCAGGCAGAAGGTGAAGGAAGTTTGAAACTAAGGTTCCAAATGAAAACCCCAGAGCTGCCACAATTGGAGTAATCTACTTCTTGTGGTCAGGGTTTTAAATGTGGCATTGATCTAATGTTGTAATACACAGTGAAACAGCCTTCCAAGAGTCTAGTAAAAGTGTGTATATTTACACATTTATTTTAAAAAGTTTGTTTATCTTTGGGCATAGAGTGAGGAAAGAATAAACAACTTTGGGCAAAAAGAAGTAATTTTATAACTGTTAGCAACTCACAAAATAGTTACCACTACAATATTTCCTTGGTACCCAAAAGGGATTAGTAACCCTACAGATACCAAAATCCATGGTATCTGTCCCTTATGCAAAATGCCCTCCATATCTGCTAGTGTGGAACCTGATGATAAGACGGACCCACTGCATTTGCTATGACTGTGAAGTTAGTATACATATAAATCTATATTTACACAGAAATACAATTAAAAGATGTTTAAAAAATATTTTTCAATTTAAATCCAAATGTGCCAAATGTAGCGTTCATGGATTTAAATTTAACCATCTCAAAAAAACTAGGTGTACTAAGATGGGAAACTATATAGTTAATTTAATTTTTAAATTTAAAATCTCACCATGAGTAGAGTACTGGAAAAGACTCTTAAACTATTAATATATATAATCTACATGTATTCAAAGTGATTCAAAATCTCTCTATGCTAATATAGAAAAGATTACCATACAATTTTTATACATATCAGGTGTTAAAATTGCAAGTACTCAATATCTCAAAAATTACACTGGGCTGAATGCAATATATATGTAGTATTTTGGTAAATATACTAAAAATCAAATAATTTTTAAAATATTTACACATTACTGGTTACTTATTTTCCCTATTTAACATATATACATTATTTACTTGTATGTGTGCTTCTATACTGTTCTTATTTACAAAACAAAAAAACAAAAAAAACAAACTGTTTAATTTAGGTCAAGTTAGAGCAAACTATAATACTGGAACTTTGGAACTGACAGAAGCCAATTAGATATAAAACTATAGATAAATACAAATATTGGTGTTGAAAAGTAAGATGTAAGGGCTAGGCGATCTCCAAGAGTGAAATAGAATCTCCCCTAAACTAAGCACAGAGCTAAGCAAATAAAGCAATTGCAATAAAAGCTGGTTGCACATGGAGGTGTCGCAGCATTTCCTCAATGGCACTTATTGCAAGCCTATGATTCACTCTGCTAGGCCACTTGATGTGCAATAAGGAAGCTCATCCCTACTTAGAGGAAAGGTGCATGCTCTCCCACAAAGAAACATGTAACTCAAATTCAAATAAAAAGGCCTTGGCATGATAGGGCTAATCTTTAAGGAGTGATACATTTCTTTCTGACTCAATAAAGCATCAAACGTGAACTATCCCCCCAGGGTGTTAACAGAATTAGCAAAAATACATTGCATTTCTATATATATTGAAGACAAAAGAAGGGAAAAGTTGGTCTTTTAGCTCCTTGTAAAATAAGGATTAACAATTGCCATGCTAAAATATGATGAAGAAGCTTCTTTTAATTAAATTAGCACTTGTCCACAATAACATTTTAGAGTGAAGACAAATTAAATGGTAACCCTTCTTCAATCTATCTTCTTCTTTCTGTGAGCATGTAAGTATTTTTATACTGGCCTAGAACTTAAAGCAGTAATTGTGGCTAGGAGAATCCTATATAAATTTATAGCAGAAAATATTTAAATATCTTTTTATTTATATAGAAAAAATGAGGTGGATTCATGCTATGTTCATAGAGCAGATACTTTCATGTCAAATAACTTTGCATTCAAGTTCCCTTTTTACCATTTGTTAGCTCTGCAATTTGAGGCAAGTTTCTCCTGGCTCTCATTTTTCTCATCCACAAAATAGGGATAATAAAGACTTTAAAGGAAGTAATCACTGCAAAGCTCTGAACACATTTCTTGGGCGATACGATGGCCATCACATAAATAATAGGTATTATGATGATGATGTTGATTAATAATTATCAGTTTGAATAATATAATGTTCCAAATAGTTAAATCACATCAAAGTGAGGAAGAATAAAATATAGGGAAAAAAAAAACATTTCACTCAGTAAATTATTCAGATAGGTAATATAAGTCACTATTTCATGTTCATTTGGTAAACAAAAATACAAAAGACAATAGATTAAAATAGCCAGTAATGTAAACTAGTCTGCAAAATTGATAACTGTTATAGAAAAATTGGTGATGGATGTAGTTTGAGGCCATGTGAATTGATTAGGAAGACCAATTCCACAAAAGTGATGATTGGTGGTTTTATGATACTATAAAATGAATAAGTCACAGTGGTTGCATGTCCTGAATACACAGAAGACAATATTAAAAAACAAGAACAACAACAACTCTTAAAGACACAATATTGCTTGTGATTATCCACACAGCTCATGAGGTTATTTTCAATATAATGAAACTTAAAGAACCTAAAGGCTTTTCATTATGTTGATTTCTTCCTGAAGAGTGAAAGAGTAAGGTGGAATCTAGACCATACATTTAAGATACAATTTTGTTTTAGAAGCCTGGAAGTTCTATCTTTAGTTTAGACAAATTTTGTCTTTTCTATTCAATTACTATATTAAATGCTTTTTTGCCTCTCCCAAAATGAAATGTTTGCTGGATTCACCTCAAGCAATTAGCCTCAATAAATGTTTACTAGATGTTGATAAAAATGAGTTACACATAACAATAACTTTCATTTTCTGTTTCACATTTTCAAGATAGAATAAAATGCATTAAACAAAATGAATATATATTTATTTCTGCAATGTTAATAAGTAATAATAAATTATAAATAAAATGACTGACTTTAAGTGAAAATATTAATGTTTTAGAAACATGCTATATTAAGTGATTGCTGTCATCTACTGAAACAAGAAAATGTTTTCATTATCTTTTTTCTTTTCCCCCCACCATGTTTAAGAATGAACAGTAATCATTGGATAAAAGGACAATTATATGACATTTAAGGAGAAAAGTGAAGTCTAGAACAATAAGACAGAGAAGGCAATGGCAGCCCACTCCAGTACTCTTGCCTGGAAAATCCCATGGACAGAGGAGCCTGGTAGGCTGCAGTCCATGGGGTTGCTAAGAGTTGGACACGACTGAGCAACTTCACTTTCATTTTTCACTTCATGCATTGGAAAAGGAAATGGCAACCCACTCCAGTGTTCTTGCCTGGAGAATCCCAGGGACGGGGGAGCCTGGTGGGCTGCCGTCTATGGGGTC